CTGAAGGGTCTATCCATAATAGAAGAGGGTGGGAGGAGGAGAGAACAATGCAACAGCGGAAGTTCAAGACATATTGGGCCACGGTCCGGGGAAAGTGCAAACGACTAGGGAAACATCGGTATGAAAGTATTTTTCCCGGGGCTTTGTTCTGCCCGACGGATAGATGAGGGAAAAGGCATGCAGGTTCCATTCTCTCGCGTTTGAATACATCCATTTAATGGAGGTGCGGCGCGACTTGTAGGCCCTTACATTTGCACTTTTTTATACGTTTTGTATTCGAAAATAAAATTCTAAGCGGTAGAAGTTTTGATGAGGATAACTTCTATGGCCACCTAGCGGAATTAGTCTTCTACAAAGTTCTACTTACGTTTGGTAAGTAGGCGGGGTTAGATTCTGTGAGCTGTGTCCCAACCGTAGCCTTGAAGAAGCCGTCCCTGTAGAAGACGAACTGACAGTGCGTAACCCCAGGGAATTCCTAACTCTAGACTAATCCTAACGCCAACAATAGAAAGTTAAATCTAATCCTATCCCTAACCCTAAGGCTAAATCTAAGCCTAAACATAAACCCACCACAAAAACTAACTTCCACTCCTACCCAAAAGCAAACCTTACCCTGAGCGCAGACTCAAACCTCAACGTCGATTAGAAAATTTAGACACCGACTGCCGCACCACTAACTGCGGAAACCGTGGCAGCAAGGCTTAATAGCACCAACAAACTCTATTGCAGCGAACTGTAGGGACCGGAAGACCTATGGCTGCAACGCACACAACCATATCGCAACCAACGCCTACACAGATCTCAAAGGCAAAAAGGAAAGTACGCGTAATACAAACCCACCTACTTATTAACCGATTAAATCCGCTGGGCGGCCATACAAGTCATCCCTAGCGAAGCCTTGCACATCTAACCCAAACTGTAGTGACTACATCCACAGAGTCTGCCGCAAGAGTGTATCCGTACTAGGCACCGACGTCTGCCAATTTGCGCAACACCTACTTCACACTGCCAACACCTCTCTTCCGATTGGAACATGAGTTCAGAACGACCAGAGGTGGGTGAGCTGGCCGATAGGGCTGAACAACGTGTCTATTCGTGTCACAGCATTTACCGGTCCCCTGTTAAGCCGGTTTGAATCTCTTATGCATGAGAGTGCGATAACTAAAAGAAAGGCGTTGCAGTCTGACTCAGAACAAACTGATCCACCCGTTGGTTACTCCCCGCAGGCCATGACTGATAA